TATTTTTCCACTTATATATATATATATATATATATGCCAGTAATGGAATTTTAAATAAACTCAGTCAATGATATTATTAGTTTAATACACTCTTTTTTTTTTTTTTTTTTCAATGATATTATTAGTTTAATACACTCTTTTTTACATTAAGTTACTCGGCATTATTATGACTGCCATTCTCTGGACATACCCTGCTTTGGATAATTTAAGCTTAGCATCTACTTTTGGGGGAGAAATATTTTAAATAGTTGAATTTTCATTAACTCTCTTTCTTTCAAAAATACTTAGCTTAATTCCTGACAAGTGATAATCCTTTTCTTCTTGTTTTTACAAGTAAAATATTTAAGAAATATTACACTCGCTTACCTTAATTACTGACCAACACCAATCCTTTTCTTGATAATTTGGTATGAAAGACCTTTTAAAAATGTCTGTTAAACTCTTTAATTATCGTTGGTTTAGATTGCTTTACGTGAATTCATGAAAATAAAATTGGTTAATGCCCACAATAAGGAATTGCTTTTCTCTTTTTACTATTATTGACACTAAACCTGTTCTTGTAGAAATTTATTATAGATTTTACATCAAACAATATTTCCTCGAAAAGTCAACATTATTTTTCATTTTCAAAAAATAATAATTTAACATACAAAAACATCTTCATATTGCGTAAGTTAAGTGTTTTTAGGTTTCCATTAGATTAATTCAATGCCTGAATATCTTATAACTGATTATACAACTGAATTCTAATTCAATTAAAAATGTTTAATTAGATCTTTAATAAAAAAAAAAATTGTAATAGATTTTTGGACAGCACGGCAAAGAATTGTTTCAAGTTTCAAAAAAGAAATCGATACTTTGTTGATCGAGTCACGAATCAACTTTGAGTTGATCTTTATTGTCAGGTTTTAAGTTAGCCTAGCGATCAATATCAATCGTAAAAGTCGCTGGTTCACTGCGCCTAATCGATACAGCTATTAATTTACTTGCCCGGAGCGTCCTTAAACCTATCTCAGAATTCCGATCGTCAAATGCACCTAAAATATCGATAATTAAATCGGTAGATTTAAATGGCATGAACGAACGCTCATGCCGACACGTAAAGGGATGAAATAAAAGGTTGTTAATTACAGTTATAAAAGATAACAATTTCAATAAAAAGGAACGCTTCCTTGAATCGTGAGAATTGAACAAAAGAATTCAAGTTTCGAACAACAAGAATATGGCTAATACTAACTTTAGATTTCCTTATATGGATTATTCAGCTTGAAATAATCTGGCATAAGTCTTCTTTGATCGATCACAATCGATCTAAATATCATGTAATGTCCAAGCTCTATATTAGATATTCGATGTTGTTTATATTTATATAAATGTTAATTTGTTATTGGACAAAACCAGTTTTTATGGGACCCTTTCATCAAACTCTCCAGCAATGGCTAACAGAACTAAATGTTTTACAACACTTGATTTTGTAGAAAAGAATTTAAAAAAAAAAAAACGAAAGCCAATCTGTCACAGGACTCTACCAATTCGGCTTTTTAATTTGATGGATTTAGATATTTTTGAGGTTCATTTGAGTGTTACACGGTGATTACAATAGTGAGTGGTTATTGAGGAAAGAGCAAATACTTACAAGAACCACGTTACGATCGACATTATGTTCTTCCCTGATTTTAGTCTAGCATAACTATACTCACATAGTACTGGATCACCCAAAGAGGATGACATTACTTTCATGCGGAAGATAAGCTTTTATACAAACAAATTGAGGGAATTATATCTCTGATCTATACCCAGTAACGAAAGAGATGTTATATTATCCAAACATCTTTTGTGAAGCTATGATATTTTTAAGCGTTATGACAACAAAGATGTATTAAGCATTTCAATATTGTTGGGTCCGTAATCAAGTGATAAACACTAATCTTCCTTTAAAATCATCCATTAGGAAAATTAAATGGGAAATGTAATCTATAATGACAGATTTTTAAACCGTTTCCTTTTTTCATCTATGAAAATTGAGTAACCTTCAATGTGCCATTTTAATAGTTTTTGTCGGCAACTAGCGGAAACCTAAGTTAAGACGTCAGGGGAGTGATATTATCTCGATGATAGGGGTGGTATTATAGGTGAGTTGTGGGCCTCACGTGTGCTCCAGATCGTGTTAAGATGGTAATTCAGAAATATATTGAGTGTTATGAAGGTACACGGGGAGACAATGGTTCAAGAGGAAATTAAACAATTTCAGAAAAATTGTAGCCTGCATCGAATTCGTCGAAGAAATATTTAATGAAATACACGACATTGAAAATGGAAATATATTTACATTGGCTGACATGCAAATATTCCTTGTGTTTCTTTATTTTTTCTCAAAGTTAACAAAAACTTCAGAGACTTGGTGTAGATGTGAATGAGAACCATCTTCTGAAGTAACACCAACGTCATACCTAAATATTTATGGCGATTATTTGGTAGTTTTCGCCACAAGGGTATCCTTCAAAATTGCTAATATATATATATATATATATATATATATATATATATATATATATGAGATGAGTTATTGTAATTATTTATACTATTTACATTGTTCAAATCATTGTCCTCATCTCTGTTCCCATATTTACGTCGTTTCGGCTGTTGTACGCTGTACACTCTGGCCTTATTCAGGAGATCGGAATTTCGAACTGAATCTTTTATTTCGTCCACTGGGGTAGATTGTTCTTCTTCCATGTGCCATGCCTCTTCCGGATATATCAGTATCAGTTATTTCCCTTTAACTCAACTCGCCCACGTTTTTGTTCACCACTGCTATAGCCAGGTATTGAACTTACAGCTCTTTGTTTCAAGTCACTGGATTAATTCAATCAAGTTTTTTTTGTCCTCAATGACACATGGCCCATTACAAGACAATGTATACGTTAAAGACTTCATTGATGAATTAAATTTGTTCTTTGAAGGACTATTACACGGTTGATTTAATAATAGTCATTGATTCTTCCCAACATAAGTACCTTGGCGTTCTCGCACCATTCGAATTCAAATTCAAGTTTGGATTTTGAGATTTTCATTTTAGATTTTTAGCTATAAATATCTACAAACTTCGTCTGTCACCTGAACTGTGGCTGAGATATTCACAGCAATAAGAATGACTACATCAAAATTGCCCAGTGTCATTTTTGCGTTTTAAAGTCAGTATTTCATACTAAGAAAACACATTCTATTTATAATTACTTCAAGCTTTGCAAATGTCAACATTCGTATATATTTGAGCATGTTCACATAAAAACACATTGAAAGGTTTGGCAAATGTCTTCCTTGTTTCAATTTGTAAATATACATTTTATTATCTTTTCATCCTTTCAGCGTACAATTTAAACAGCAAGTTTAGAAAAATAAAAATACAAACAACAAATCTTAAAAGATAATTTATTGTGAAATGATGGGCAATGATTTATGTTTAATGATTTTAAGTATAGATATGGCACGTAAAGAATATGTCCTAAACACCGAAATCCTTCACGAAAGAAATAATTTAAGAATAATATAATCAGAAGTGTGTACCTTTTAAATGAATTAAGTCAATTCCGAATGGGATTTCTCGGAAAGGAAGGCAATTCAGGACCCGACAGCGTTCAATTACTTCCGTTCAATATTGAGTTATATCCCCTTTAGGGCAATGTAATTTACAGAAAAAAACAATAGCAATAAGGTGGCTAATTTTAATGAAAATTATTTGAGAGAAAAACAAATAGAAAGGGAATTCTTATGAAAAACTGGGAAAGAAAAGACGACTGCAAATAACCATAACAATCACAAGGATAATTGTTATGAAATGTATAATAAAGATTGCATAGTAATAATGACATTATTATTATTATTATTATTATTATTATTATTATTATTATTATTATTATTTTGTATTTTATTTCTTGCTTTTAAGTTTTATTATCATTGTTTATCCAACAATATTAAAAACCTGCAGATTCGACACAATCAAATCTCCATCACTACTACTGCTACTACAATTATAACTGCTAAATAGCTTTTGTGCATTTTATGTTCCAAAATTCTACAATAGGTGCAATTATAATCGCCACAACAAATAATAATAATAATTATTATTATTATTATTATTATTATTATTTCTTTTGATTTTTCGTATATTCATTTCCCTTCGTGTCCCAATCAGAAATGGCATCATGACATTTTCACTGAGTATTTATTAAAAAAACAGATGTAACCTAAGAGCACACATACTTTACATAAAAGCCCTTCGTAAGTTGTGCGCTGTACTTCTGAGTTTAATCATTTGTATTTCTTTAAGACATGGCCTACCAAGGATCCCCATTCAATGAGCCTATTGGAACTTTTTTTTTCAATCAAACCGAGGCTTTCAACTACAGTTGCAATTATTGAAGTCCTCATGTGTCACATTTTTGAGATTTCTACTTGAAGATTATCGTATCTTCAAGGATAAATTACAGTCTGCAGGCACTGCCATGTCAATAAGAAAGCACACTCTGTTTTTGTGATCTTTGCTGTCTAGGCAATAAGCTTTGAGTGTCCTGTCTGTGTGTATTATAAATTCCCATAAAATTGTTACAGGTCCTATGTCTGTAACCTAGTCTGGTTGGTGTTCATACCACTTTCTTGCAGTTTCTTTTTTGTAAAAGATGCATATTTTCCAGTGCAAATATTGCCCCACTCTGTCGTGCCGTGTTTTATATTCAGTGGGTGTTGTTGTCCTTGTTATTATTATTATTATTATTATTATTATTATTATTATTATTATTATAGGAAGAATTGAAATCATGCAAAAAAATGAGTGTCATGGTGGAGCTAGCAAAATTACTGTCACTTTATCCCAAATCGAAGCCATTAGTCGGGGATCGAAATGAATATATGAAATAACTAAACACATATTGCATTTTCGACGTTAAAGTTCAAAAACTATTTCTTGTTTTTCTGTTGAATGAAGACAAAATAAATACGCATTAGGGAGAGTGATAATGAAAATAAGAAAATGAATGAAAGAAAGAAAGAATAAAGAAAGGGGATGAGATGATAGAAAGCGGAGATTGATGAATGAAAAACAAATAGCAGTAATATAGAGAAGCAGAAGGGAAATGACAATTAAAGAAAGGAGGAGGAGGAGGAAAGGAAGCGAAAGAGAAAAGCTGAATGTAGATTAGGTGAAGCAAGTGAGTATGAGAAGAAGGAAGGGGAGGAGAAGATGGAAAAGAATGAGAAGTTGAAGCTATGTTAGAAAGAGGGAAAAAGAAAAAGTAGTGAAAAAGAAAATCAAGAGGAGAAAGAGAGTGGTGTCAAAGAATCTTGGAAGAAAATAAGAAAACATCATCTGAATGTAATAATTGGCGATGAAAACGTTAATGATCTTATTTATATTTGGATCAGTACAAAGCTAAAGATAGGGAAGATCAAGTAATTGAACAGGGTCTACTGACCGGCTTTAAATTAAGAAAACGTCTCAGCCAAGGTTCAGCTAATAGATGTACTCAGTGAGGAGATAATTCACTTCTCCAGCGATTGATCTGAGGGGTGGTCAAACTTTTGTAGTTAATACATTCTTTTTGACTAAAATTAATACACGGCCATAAGGAAGGGGCAATCATAGAAGATCTAATTCATCCCTCCTCACGTGGCAAATGGTTTGAACCAGATTCTTTCTAAATATTTCAAGTGCTTTTATTTTTATTAAGATCATCTTAGTCTGAGCCATTATAACATTAGCGAATGGTTGAGGGAGACTTGATTATTATCTCTCGACTTTATTAAGTGTATAACATAAAGATGATGATAGGCATCGTCATTATCACAATCATCATAGTTTTATTACGGATCTAATTATGTCGAAAATCATCATCAGACTAATTATTTCCTATTTTCTCAGCCTGCTTGTTGTCATTGTTATTGCTATTGAAATCACCGTTATCTACTATAATGAAATGCTTTCATAAACTGAAAACCTGAATCAAAATAGAGTAAAAAAATGAAATTCACAACGACATACACTAAAATGAATATGATGTCTGTTAACGGATGCACTCATTTTCGAATAAAACATGGCGGCCCATTGAACTCTTTCTTAAAGACAGATTAAAAGAGAGAAAATGATAAAGACACTGACGTCATTTACCTCATTGATAAAGAACTTTCATTAATTCCTTCTTTCATTTTGTGACAATTCTTAATGTGAGTCTGTTAGAATGTCATTTTATCACAGAAATGAATGAAGGCTAATTGTGAAAAATACAATAATAACCAAAAAAAAGGACTTAATATACATGCATCATTCCCTTTCACCAAAACTATTGCGATATTATGCTTAATAGTAAGAAAAACAGCATTTCTATGTATATATTTTTTAAATCGGTGTCAAGATACAAACGGTGTGAAAGAATTAGGGATTGTCGTATAGATTTCATTAAAATAAACTATGACACCATTCCCATCATCTCTTGATATATTGATGACTTTCCCTCACAGTATAAGAATGCCAGATTCGCCTGATATAACCTCTGTTCGATTTTTATCAATATTCCACTTTGGCATTAAAATTTATTTGCTATCTATGTCACTTATATTCTTCTCGCAGATATTCATTTTTCTAGTTTGCGTGCATAAATCCAAACCGATATATTTCATTAATTCAATAAAATTAACTTTGTTAAAAAAACAAAAGTTACAACGACGTTACAATCTCATGATGCTTGGGCGGTGAGATGACGTTTTAAATCTAATGTAACTCTCCAATCTGTCCAACCGTCAAGCAAATTTATATGCATTATTGAACTCACTTGATAACTTGTGTCAATAAAGTGATCTTTTGCACCGTGGTAATTGTTTTGATAATGTTCTCCTTCCTTTTATTTCTTTAATACAATTAAATATTCACGCCATTGACGGCAATGTCACATTTATAAGGGTCTTATTCCCGCCCTTTTTCACAGTATCGTAAGAGCTTCTCTTTGCTTGATGAGATGTGAACGTAGGAACAAGTATTAGAATGAATGAGAAATAATTAAAATAGATTCTTGTGAAATATTCTCTTTCTGGTCTTCAAAAACATATTGTGTTCTGGCAGAGACAACAACATACATTGTCTTTTAGTTCCAATTTTGCGAGAAACGAGCAAGGCTGTTTCGAAAGGCCAAAAGGTAAAAGAGAGAAAATTAATCTCGAAGAAATATAAAAAAAACATTTCAAAAGACATTTTCTTGAAAAACAAATATTAAGGAAGATGTTTCACTAATATTATAAATAAACAGAGAAAGACAATCAGGGACATAGATAGTATAGATAGATATACATATCAGACAAACGATGTCAACATATGCGAACGAAGATGAACGCAAATTGGAGAAAGGGAAAAAAAATCATTTATACAAGGTATTTGCAGATTTCAAGCGGCACTTATATTGAATGACGTTCTGCTGTTGATGTAGAAATAGAAAGAATCTGGGCTACGGGAGGTCGGTTTACCTGTAACGTTATGATTCGCCAAAGATAGCGTGAGAATATAGTCCTACCAAGTAGATGACAGTTACTGAAAATGCATGTTTCTTAACCCCCTCCAAAAAAATAAAATTTCGTATAGGTACCTCCACTTTTTCGTGAGAAAATTAGCATAGCATGATGAAAAAAGGTCCCAAACGAAATAAAAACAAAGTTTTGTTATCAAAATGTTTATATCATTATTAAGATGTAAGCGTAAAGTATCTTTTTATTATTTTTTGAAATATTTTAATCCCTTCTAGCACCTTCGAAATTTTGGTAAAAATCCTGTTTTGTTTACGTCAGCGGCAAACGTAATGATAACGATTATTTTTTTGGCGCTTTTTTTTTCCGTCGAAGACATAGTGAGTTGGAAATCCATGCAAAAATCAAATAATTATCGGATTTTATTGACCCTTTCATGGCATATTCCGAAATGAATTTAACTTTCTTTTTTTTTTTTTTTGAAAATCTATTAAGAAAATATTTTTTTTTTTTACATATTTACTTAATTTCTTGAAATTACAAGAAATTCAATTTTCAATGCGGGGATTATTTTATTAGCTAAAAGCAGGTCTCCTTGGAAAATAAATCATATTTTTTTTAACCGTTCCAACAAAAATCTGCTTTGAATTGTAAAATAAAAATGCAATAAAACTATTACATGATTTAATTAGAAAAGCTTTTAATTGCTTTGATGAATAAGATTTATTAAGAACACTATAGTCTTAATAAGAATTTTTTTTCCTCAATGAATAATTAATTTTCGCAAGAATTGTTTTCATTGTTTAAAAAGATTAATTAAATAATTTATAATATTAAAAAAATCTTTTAAAATTCTGCATTGCTCTAAGGCGGCGATTTAGTGATAGTTTTAAGTAAAATGTATATTTACGAATCAAAAACTGAAAAGCTTATAACAGTCGTTTGTATCCAAATATTTTTTTTTTTAAATTCTTTTAAATTTTCGTGTATAGACGTTCCCAATTTCTAACTATGGTAAGCTATAAATGATATTATCCTTTAAAGGTTCACGTGATTTAAGAATCGTCTGGCGCCTATGCAAATCTTTCAATTTCATTATTCAGTTCTGTTTCATCATTAACGTTTTTGCAAATAATCCCTTCAAAATCTCAAAGTAAGTTTTACTTCTTTAATTACTATTTCACTAAATAAATTTATTTTATGTATTTATATTAGTTTTGTTCATACTTCAATTAAGTATTTTTTGTTTAAGTTAGTAAATTTAAGAACCTAGTGGCAAAACCGAAATTTCATAAAGCATCTTGATACGTAACTAAAAGTCAATAAAATATTAAATAATTGCTGAAAATATGTTAATTTGTAAAAATTACTAAGTAATTAAAAATAAAAAAAAATGTATTCACTAAGATTTCGTAAATTTATGTCAATTCCGGTCATCCATACTAGCTGTTATCTCCTCGTAACTATCGATACGTCATTAAAGCTAAAAGAAAAAGAGGACGGGCTTGTGTATTACTTATTTATGCTATAAATAAGTAATATTTATTTCAAATCAGAGTAATTTAACTTTAAATTTGCTGATTTTACTCTGATTCGTCTCACAAATATATTATTTATTTTGGAAGTTTTTTTTAAAACCGATAATTTTCTTTTGTTTACAAATTTCATAAAATTAAGAAAATGGCCGCTTTTAATAAAATGTTCTGAAATCGTCTAAAAAGTTGAGATTCCGATCTATATAATTTCTATTTGAAATATATAGAATATGTTACTTACTTGAAATAGTAAATTTAATCATTTAACTTTTAATTGAAGCTAAAATGAAATCTTCAAGAATGCTATTTCATTTTCAAAAGCTCATTTTAAACCTTAAGTATCGAAAATTTAGTGGACGTACCCAGTATAGTGCATGATTTTGAACCACTTGAAAACAATTAATTATAAATAGTTCGATCCCACTATTTTTTGCGTCAAAAATGATCATAAAATTTGCTCTATGCTTGATCATATACAGTATGTGTTTATAAATGGATATGAGTTACTGCTACCTTTACTACTACTACCGCCACTATTACTACTATTAACAACAACAATAATAGCTATCTATACCTGTGGATATTTCAATGTATTGACTATTAAGATATCATTATTACTTTAGTATATATATATATATATATATATATATATATATATATATATATATATATATATATATATATATATATATTTCGTCTATTACTAACAGGGATATTTATTATATGCATATAATATATGCTAATTTAAACATAATCTTAATAAACAATACAGATGTTAGGTAAGTTGGAAAAGAAAGAAAGTATATAGAGATAAGATATAACAACGTTCAGAGACTTTGACGACAGACACGCTTTATCAATTATGCAGCAACTATCAAATCTGCTCTTTTTCAAAGCGTATCAGTTGAGACACAGAGATAGATAGATAGATAGATAGATAGAGAGAGAGAGAGAGAGAGAGAGAGAGAGAGAGTAATAATAGAAAAATAATAATAACGAAAAAAAGAAAATTAATATCGCAAAGAATATATATGTGCGTGTGGGGGGGGGGTGATGGAGGAAGAGAAAGATAGAGAGAAAGAATAAGAGAGAAAGAGAGTTGGAGAGATAACGTAGAAATGCCAGATTTGTTGTCCAGCCACACATTTAAAATACTAGGGTAGATCGGACACGTTAGCTGCGGTAAAAAGTAATCCTTTGGGATCACACTAAGCTGTGTTCATTGGTTTTTCTAACAAGTATTTGCAGCAATCCATTGTTACGGAAGAAAGTGTGGTTGTTCCTGCATACACTTAAGCCACTTTAAACAATTCGTTATGTGGGTAATCTAGCGGCTAAGTAATCTAGCGGCTAAGTAATCTAGTGGCTAAGTAATCTAGTGGCTAAGTAAGTTGTCATTCATGCACAAATCATGGGGTAGTTGTGTAACCCGCTGATGTTGACAAAGTAGGTGTGTAGGAACGTTTTAACAAATCAGGGAAAGCTACATTAAATGTGCCAAAAAAACTGAGTATTCAATCTTTTTCCTTGGTAGTCTAGATATGCATTTTGTGGTCCAAATATTCATGATAAAAAATAATGACTCCTTGGATCTTTGAACGTATGAACACTACAGGACAATCACTCAATTCCGGAACAGAAAACAGTACTTGTGGTAACTTCCTTAATGAAATATAATGTCGACAAGTTTGGTATCTTTCCCCCGGTATATCTCAGTTCAAAGAAGTAGGAAAATGGATTGGAAAAAGTGAAGAGGAACATCTTTTTTCAGGGAATGGCTTTATCATTAAATCCAGTAAGGCTAACATTCTACAGTCTTTCTAAAAGGTTCAATGACCGTATTATGACCCTAAACCTGAATTTTGAAAATAATTCTTCTTCAACATTTGTAAGCTGGTATGCTGCAGCTGTGTTTGCCACAGAGAAGAAGATATTTACTTTTATGAAAAGCTTCGTATCGTCATCTCCTGCCATCCCATTCTCTGGCGAACATGGGGAGGTGTTGTTGGTATTCATGAAATTGGTGCTAACATCTCCAATGCTCTGCAGGTCCTATAACTCTGCAAAGAGTTCAGTCTATATATATAATCAACACAATTTTTCAACAACCCACTACCAAAAAACAACCTAGATGAATCTTTGATCAAAGGAATGGAATTCGTTATTACCAGAAAAAGAAACGAAAAGTATTTTCGCCTGACTTTTATCTGCCACTGAACTAGGACATGGCGTTTGTTGACTTAAGACCTAAGATCCTGTGAATCGTGATGCTCTTTGGAAAGTCTTAATGACAGGATGATTAATGTCATCATCTCTCTTCCTGTAGGTATGAAAGCATCAGTCTTGTTCCATAGAGAATTCACAGATGGAGGTTAATGTCACAAATATTACAAAGCAAGTTTGTGTTATGACAACTGTCTTATTTACCCTTTCCTTCTATGTTATATGTTTACAGGGATTCTAAATGTGGTGTGAAGTTTGTATCTCGTACATCAGGATGAATTTCTAATTATAATGGAGAAGCCCAGAAGCTGGTTGATCACTTTTCACTTTTAAGCAAAGTATTTTGAATATATATATATATATATAGGATAAGATAGATACCTCAATATATATATATATATATATATATATATATATACACGCAAACACACAAAAACACGCACGCACACACACACACACACACATATATATATATATATATATATATATATATATATATATAGAGAGAGAGAGAGAGAGAGAGATGAAAACATGCCACAGAATGTGACAGTGAAATATTTATCGTTCGAAAATCCTTTACTCATCTCAAAATAACTTAAGATTCCATTGTTATGGTAATGTGAACAGAGATCCCAAATTCTGTATAATGCGTCTGTTTAACGAAAGAGAGGAAAAGAATAAGTCATACGTATTTCATGCAAGTAGAAGTATATACTACGTGAAAGTGTGACACGCAAGCGCACAATTACAACAACAACAACAATAATAATAATAATAATATATTTGACGATCGTCACAAAACTATCAAAATACACGGATCTTGAAGAGGAAATCTACGCAGAAGCAATGATTGCTAACTAGAAATTACCAAGCCCAATACATATACTTAGCCCAAAATATAGATTCTGTAATAAGTATCCAGAAAAAAATGACCATCTTGTATCGGGCTGCGCGATGTTGGAACCCCCGTCATAACAAAGTACTCAAATATCTGCATTGGAAAATATGCAATTTTTATGAAAAGGAAACTAAGAAATTGGTATGAACAACATCCAGACCCAGTTACGGCGGTAGGACCTATAAAAAGTTTATGGGACTTTACAATACACACAGACAGACCAATAAAAGCTAATTGTCCAGATATAGTGATTAGAGAACACAACGATAAAATGAATCTTCTGGCTGACATTGCAGTTCCTGTAGACTGTAATGTGTCTTTGAGAACCAAACAATTCCAGTTGTAGTTGGTGCCTTGGATTTAATTAGAAAAGGCTCTTATATACTCAGTTAAGGGATCATTGGTAGCCCATGCCATAAAGAAATGCAAAAAAAAAAAAAATGAAAAATTCTCATAAGTACACCCAACACCTAACAAAAGGCTCTGCCTATGTAAAATATGTGTGATTTTTTTTCAAAAATACTCAGTGGAAAATATCATGATGCCATTTCAAACCATAGGTCTCTGGTTGGGATCCGGAAAGAAATGAGTGTACACCAGAAATCAAAGAAAATATGATAGTAATACTACTACTACTACTACTAATAATAATAATAATAATAATAATAATAATAGCTTCATTCTCAGTGATTGGCATTAGGGATAAAGATGATAAGTTATGAAAAAACTCTTATAAACCTTAACTGCTATTTTCAAATACTTCAATTTGTTGTAGTATTTATTGTAGTAATCGCCTGTGTATAAGTTTGGCACCTATTAATTACACATGGAATCAGTTTGGCCATTGTTATTCAAACCTGTGCTATGAAAATAGGACGTTTGCAGTTGAATTGCTTTCATTAAATCACATACAGTATGTAGTAGTATTAATATTGTAAAAGAAGTGGTGCAACATGTCAATTGGCAATATTTTTCTATTGTGGCAATAAATACATGGATGACAATTAAATTCGATGATATTAAACAACAGTTTAATAATATATTTCAATACAAAAGCAGATAAGTGCATTTAGATTTTTAACGTCATGCAAAGTAAAATATTTATTTCATTAAAAAAGCATTCTTTAAAAAAGATGAAGTTTGTACCAATATCCGTTACAGTAGAAGCAGCTTTTCGTAATCCAAAACCAAGATAGTCGCCGAGCAATTTTTTCGCTATTTGTTTGTCTTTAAAATCCCGTTTTCTTTGTTCTTCTTGACATAGTAAGTAAGAAGGATAAAACTTGGAAAGTGGGATCAAGAAGTCATACTGGATTTATCGTCCTATTTAACTAAAAGTTACACAGGATATTGTGAAACTCACGGCGAAAACAAAACAAAAAAGATGTCGGAAATGTTTAATATAGATTCAATAAAATATATTAGTGTCTGCTTTTAATATAGCTGTAAGCATATTCTATAGACATTCATGCCAATGGTCGTGCGTGTCATTTGAGAATTCAGTCTAGTATGGACTTCAATTCTTTACTTAGGATTTATGAATATATTTATTATGCATTTTCTTGTTCAGATTACAAACTAATTGAATTCTTGAAAGAAAACCTTTTTCGATTCTTTGAGAAGAAGAAAGAAAAAACCTTATAGAGTTTTTCTTATAGGTGTGACGTCATAAATTAAACTCTATACATTCATTACCAACAAAATTGTATGTTGGATAAAATCCTTTCGATGAAAACATGCACAAAAAGAGCTGTTCATACAAGTATATACACACGGCTAAAATACCAATAAAAAACAAATATGCATATATATATATATATATATATATATATATATATATATATACGTGTGTGTTGCACCAACTTCAGCCCATACATATATGTGCACATGTATATGCTTATAATATATAGTTAGCAAAATTTCACTCAAATATGTATTATTCAATTCGACCGACAAGAACTGGTTATTTTAGAGAACTGCTTTTTATACTTTAAAGGTTTGCGTATAGGCAGTCGCACAGCCAGGTCATATCAACAAAGTGACTTTGAATAGTTTCTTTATGAATTTGATCTGAATATATGAATTCTGATATCCAAAATAGGAAATGTAATAAAAAATGAAAAATACATATCCTCTGTCGAATCGAGTAATTTCTACTTGAATATATATGTGTGTGTGCATGTATGTGTGATATTTTATTAAATGTCCATATATATATATATATATATATATATATATATATATATATATATATATATATAGATAGATAGATAGATAGATAGATAGATATGGTAGATGACCGAAAATAATGAGGGCCTGATAGATGTTTGAAAAGCACTTTCTCTTTCCCCTTTGTCTTTTGGAACGTCAACACACTGATAGACACGAGTCATGTCAGTACTTCAGAGACACGGACTGAAAATTGTATCAAACAGTTTATAATGTCTTTTTAATACATTTATTAATTTTTGTTTGTTTGAATTCCATGTTTTGTATTCTTTTTTTTTTTTCACCCAGACTTACATGTGTCCGTCAAATATTATTTCTGGACAAATATACAAGCAGGCCTAAAATGATGCTAGTTTATATTCTCAACAACTCATACATACACGCATGCATATATATATATATATATATATATATATATATATATATATATATATATATATATATATGCCCGTCATATAAGATGAATCTTCACTACCCCAATTGATCGAATAAATAAATTAGATAATTATCTACTAGAAAAAAATTTAAAACATCTAAGCATATCCTAAAAAACGGTCACAACGTACTGTGTTCAAAAAATCAAACATCCCTATAATTCTAGATATATACATGCAACCCATACATCTAGTTAAAAAGTAAAAATAAAATCATCCTTGTGATGCAGAGTCGAAATTGCTCGGAATTACAGAGCATTTGGACAGTTCTACACACTCTGTGTCCAGAAAAGAAAACATTTGTTCGAACACAAGGACACAAAAAACATTAAATAAAAAGCTTAATTACAGTACCTTGGATG